GACGCCTGTATATCTGGGTCCTCCGTGTTTTCCCTCCACATATAGAAACACGCGTTTAGAGTATTTGGCTGCTCGACGTTTGCACACGATAAGCCATTTCGTTGAGCTATCATTTGTGTTAACCAGGTCGCTGTTGAACAAGAGCTACATAGCTCAGTGTGCCTTACCTGGTAACATAAAATAAAACAAAATATCAGGAGTACCTTGCACTCTCGTGGCAGTGCCCAACACATATACTCCCTGCTGAAAATACATGGTTGCATTGATCCTGAAAATATCTGTTGAACCCTGGTCAAAGAAAAGCATCATGAAATAAAAAAATGCACGATTCGATTCAACTCCAGAGGCCTAAATTATCATCACCTAATCACAAAACACCTCAGAGAAGAAGTTGGTGTTAATTTTGTTAATGGACTTTTCATATTTGCTGGCCCGCTCATGCGTGAGTCCTGGTATCTTGTCCTGCAGTCTTGGGGGACGCGTCTTCTGGCAGTACTTTTCACCGCGTTGACAAAGTGTTTGTAGTGTTCTAGGTTGGGTTCGATGTCTGCTACTGCTCTGTCGAGCTCTACGGTCAGTTCCTGCCAGTTTGCTCTGGCAAAGTTGAAGCGACGGTGGAATGGTTCTGCCTTTGGCACTGCCTTTGGCATTGCCTTTGGTATGATGTGAATTGGGAGGGGGCGGTGTTGGGAATATGGAATGGGATCCATGACCACCTTGCAGCTTAGAGCTGCGGAATTGTGGACTGACAACGTCGATGTGAGGGTTGTAAGCCCTGTGCCACTGTCCACTGCTGAATGAGTTTGGAGTCGTGAATCAGGCTCAGCTCGTTTGCCTCTCGCCCAGGTCTCCACCCCCTCTGCGTCTCCGTTGGTGGTGTCGTAGCCCGAGCTGTGACTGTGGCTGTTAAAGCCACCAATGACGATCTGTATTTTATTTGGCTAAGTCCCTGGTGCAGATAATTCACGTCTCTTCTTTGGTGATTTGTAGACTGATGTAACTGAGATGTCTCCTATGCTAACGTTCAGGATGTCAGTGTCGTTATTGTCATGGAGGCTGTCTCGATTGACAGGACCGATTCCACGCAGATTGCATCGCCGTATCGTTCATGAGCTTTTGCAACCGCCGGGTTTTCGTGGTGTGCTGCTCGTCAGCCCTTTGTGGCGAGTGGCCGTTGGTTGACGGAGGAGAGCCCTCGGTGTTCACGGTGCCACTGTGAGTGCCGGCCCTGAAAGGGGTCGTTGTTTTCGGTCATTTGTAGCTCTTCTTCGTTCCTTCATCTTGGTGAACGGTGTCCGTAGGGTGAGCAGTGGGAAGTGACTCCCTAGGCCGCGACGGGTGTACATAGAACTTATTTCGCACCGTGCGTAGACAACGTAGGCACTCCGATTGTGAAAATTCACTGAAGATACGTAAAGAGGAACACGTGGATTAGAGAACATACGCGCGAATGTGTCAGTGTACGCTCATGAGCATTGAGTACCGCCTCAAAGGAAGTCGACAGAGGCTGATCGACTGGCCTTGTGGCATCGCTGTGGAATCACTCAGCGCTGCTGGGTCACGCACAGACCGCGGTGTGCTCGCAAGGTACCAGTAGATGGCAGCAGTACAGCACTCAACATATTTCATCATGAGACCTCCTTTGCCTAACATCTTAACGCAGCTGTTTTGTTGCCAGAAAAAAGAGGGAAAACCTATTATCATACTTTGGTACTGACAAAGGAGGTCCCATGATGTAGATGCTCACCCCGAGCCCTCATTATTCTGATAGTGACAGTCTTTGTGCTGTACGCCTTTTGGCGTCCTCTGGTCTAACACCGTTTGAGACGAGGCTCAAAAGAAAGTTGTCTCTGGTGTGGACCAATAAGTTTCAAGGACAGTGCAAATATTAGCAGAGTATGTTTTTTGTTTGCATTCTGACCACAAGCATTGTGGTTAATGCAGACATGATTCCTTGTAAAAGGTTTCAGTTTGGTGTTTTAACATCTTAACACCTGTTTTGTTGCCAGAAAAAAGGGGGAAAACCTACACTCAACATATTCTTTGGGTCTTTCAATAAAGTCACGTAGATAGGTTTTTTTGTTATTTTCTTGAACCTATCTACGTGACTTTACCGAAAGACCCAAAAAATACGAATTCCTGCAGTCACAAAAGCTTGAAGTCAAGCACTCAACATGTTTGGATGCCAATGCCACCAAAGTCAATGAGTCATGCCGAACAATGTTTAGCTAATGACCGTGGATTCAATGGTGAGTGGCCAGGCTGGACTTGGACTCGCTTCGGTTCTGTTCGATCTCCAGGCGCGGCAGTCCAAACAAGCAAAAGGTTTTTTTTTTTTAATCACTGCCACTGCTTCGGTCAGCCCAGCAGTGTGCATGGGTTCACCACAAGTACTCAAGTGGATCAGCAGGTGTCGTATGATGGGGGAAAATGTGGGTAATCCAGACTCTTTCGAGACGTGTGGCCAATCACTCACCGAACTCCGCACTCACCAAACACTAAATTACTCACTCAACAACTTACTCATTCATCCACTCACATTCCCACTCACTCAACCACTAAGTTATTTACTCACTCAACAATTTGCCTATTTTTTTCCCTACTCACCTTCCCACTCACTCACTTCAACACTCAGGCATTCACTCACCAACGTACTTACCCACTCAATATCATACTCACTTATTCAACCATTCAATCACTCACCAACCTCTCTCATCCACTCACCCTCCCACCCACTCACCCTCCCACTCACCACACTGCAGGTCAGCCTCACCTCTCTTTCTGCTTCTCCCCTCGCACTGCTCCACTCCTGGAATTCCCTCTCCCAACGTCCTGATCACAGCAAACATCATTGGCGAGTGATGGATATCTGATACCCGAATCCTGGTCACACTCTCTGCACCGGCCATCACTGGCCATCGTGAAGGGGTCAACCCAACCCCATGGTCGACACTTGCGTGGCGAGTCCTTCACCCGGTAGTGGCTGTAAATGAGTTGCTCGTTATGTAGAGGAATGACGGTGTTATTTGATTGTTCAATGATTCACCGCTCCTTGCTTAGATTCATTTGTTTTGTTTTTATTGTTCACCGTTACTTGAGCACAGGTCCAAATGCCCAGAAAACGCCAAGCAGGCAGCAGTAAACAGCACAGCGTTGCACTAGACGACAGTGTAACACGTGACTTGAGGTTATGATAAGAGCTTGGGGTAGAGAGACGAATTCCAGAGTGGAGCAGCGGCAAGAGGCTGAGAGAGAAGTGAGGGGACTTGCAGTGGGGTGAGTGAGTGGGCGGGTGAGTGGTTGAGTTTGTGTGGCTGTGTGTTTGAGTGAGTTAGTGAGATATTTGGTGGGTGAATGGGTGACAATGTGAGTGAGTTGGTGAGTGGGTGAGTGTAAGTGGGAGTGAGCAGACGAGTGAGGGGATGGGTGATACGGTGAGTGGGTGAGTTTGTGAGATACTGGGTGAGTGTGTGAGTGGTTAGGTTGGTGAGTGAGCGGTAGTGTCGCGGTTAGCGCTACGCTGCGCTACAAACCTGGCGACCCAAATGGCCATAACCAGCGACAATTATCTGAACTAGTCCTGGGCCTCCCCTCTGGTGCAGTGTGTAAACATCGCCACTCGGGAGATAAAGGTGGCCGGGCGTGGTGTTGGCCACCCACCCCCTCATGTGCTGTGCAGGCCTGCATAGGTGCTCGCTAACAGCACTTGCCCCAACAGTCTGTTAAGGCTATATGGTTGATCTGTGTCTTTTGTTGGTGAGTGAGTGTTAGAGTAAGTGGATGGGTGAGCGTATGTATGTTGAACTTCTTGCACACCGTACGTAACCAACCACTGCTCACGAGTGCGTGAGTAGGAATATTCGTGGTGGTATGGACTTGTCATGAAGAGTGTCACTAACAAAAATAATAATCACGACTTGTTTTTCATACAGTGATCTGTGACTTACATCTCATCTCAACATTTTTAAAGCGCACCCCCAGTGGCAGCTGTCCCTGTGTGGCACAAATTTCACTCTCAGCACATGGTCTGCAAGTGGGAAATTCGCTTGCCAGTAAAGGGGTGCTGATTGTCACGGGTAATCCACTTGAGTAATTATTGCGGTTTAACTTGAAATTTTGTCAAATTTGGATCGTAAGGCTAGCACACAATGGCCTACTCGTCTCTAAAGACATCGGGGGTTCTTTAACATCCACCGGCCACATGATGTTGTAGATAATGCACTCGAACCATGAACCTCGTCAACAAGCGACCAATCACACTTCCACTGGGTGGCGTCACTGGCACACTCAGGGCAGACAACGACAATAACAATCTCATGCCGTGCTTACTCAGTAAAGTCTGACCAAGTCCTAAGAGTCTGTTTGAGAAGGACCTTGCATCGGAATGTTTGCCCAATGCCATTGAGGCACGGATAAGGGGGTAACACTCAGAGGTATACGCACAGACACGTTCAAAAACAACACGAATCTTTGCCGGGTCCTTCATTCCTTGCCCACAAGGTGGGCTGCAAGGTGGTTTTGGTGGCGCTGTGGCGACATTCGTGCCTCACGACAAGGGGACCTGGGTTCGATTCCAGAATCGGGCTCCTTTCTGTGTGAAGGATGTATAACCTCCCCCGGTTCTGCCAATTTTGATTGTGTGTGGTTGTGTGTCACTGTGTGTGTGGTTGTGTATAGAGAGCGGTAGTTTAGCGGTGAGCACGCTGCACTACGAACCTGGCGAACCGAATTCAATTCCCTCTCACAGCCATCACCGGTGACGATTATCTGAACTGGTCCTGGGCCTCCCCTAGGTTGACTCAGCCTCAAATGGGTACTTGTTGTGTAAACATCGCCACTCGGGAGACAAAGGGGGCCGGGCGTGGTGTTTGTCACTCGAGCTCACCGGCTATGCTCAAGATCGCAAGGGCATTGGCTTCGAATGAACGACGTCCACTTGATAGGTGCTGCCGTCTCCATTCCAGAATGTCACCCAGATCTGGAAGAACGCTGCTGATGTGCAGAGTGGAAAACGCGGACGCCTAGAACACCTCCTGGCTTTGACATTCCTTTACGACACACAACATCACTAGTCTGCTGTGAACATCTCCTTCGCGAATGTAACAAAAATTATAGACAAGCCACAGTGGTGCGATTGCGGCCATGCAAGCCAAACGATGGCCCGTATAGTGAATCACTGTGGTCTGCGCTCCTTCCACTGACGAGTAAGAAGAACAACACAAAATCTCTATCCTGAAGCCCTCTCGTCATGGCCAGCACACCTCGACATTGGCATTCAGCTCCAGAACATACTGTTGCCATCACGCCCAAGAAGAGAATTGGCACTGAGTTAGCATCTTCAACACGAACACAGTGACCCCAGCTGAGAGGGGGTGAAATTCCACCCAGGGGCATTGCTCACTCAGAAAGCTCATCTCAGCAGTATTTGCTCAGCGGTTCAACCATTAGGTCAGGATCAGCTCTCGAACCCCACTGCTCTCAGTGTGTCTCCGGTAACATCTCGTATCTTGGCCAGTTGTTAAACACCCGTGTAATATTGGACTTATTAACCACAAAGACGCAGTTAATAATTGGAATTTAAAGTCGGATATTGGACCACACGAGGAGGGATTTATGAGGAATAAAAAGGCAAAGCCTTCATAAGGCGACGCAGCGTGCAGTTACGTAGGGTGGATGACATGACATAAATTTATAGTATTATATTATTAGCATTTTATTTCATTTTATATTATTATAACTTGACCGCGGCGAGAGTGAAGAATGCATTATTGCAAGTACTGCGTCATAAAGACCTCGGTAAATCACCGCGAAAGGCACTCATTAGCGATCCCACGTCCAGTCCACGCGCTGCTGCCTAGGAAGCCAGCGCGCTGGGCTGAAGGGGTAACCCTAGAGAAGAATTCACTCCTGATAACCCACAGTCCTCCATTACCATCGGGACAATACGGCTTTTGTTGAGGGCCCAGCGGATTAGGTGGATGGCAAACGGTGAGTGGTTAAGTTAATCGCAGGGTAATGTGGGCAGCGGATAAAACAAAAGGTAAATAGTGGGGCTGCGTGCAGCTCCAAAGCAGCTGTCCGCGTGCTCCACGTGAAGCGTGCATGACGAGTTGTCAGGCGATTGTCCGGGACATTTGCTTAGCTGGGCAGGGCCTGGCACGTCGCGGGGACACGATGATGAGCCACCGGCCCAACGACCCGAAATATCAAGTGGCTAGCATCAAAAATCACGGTTAAGGTTGCAGTAGATACGAGTGTAACACGTTTATTTGATTGAGCAAGGTTATTATTATTATCTTCATGATAAGAGCTTGGGGGAAACGAGACGACGATGGGAGGAGGGAATTTAAAATTGGAGCCGTGGAAAGGGAAGGAGCTGAAATAATAATAAGCGGTGCCACCTGCAGTAGGGTGAGTGAGCGAGTGATTGGATAAGTAAATGAGTGAGCAGGTGAGTAAGTGAGTGAGCAGGTGGGTGTATGAGCGAGCAAGTGGTTGAGCGTGGGAGTCTGTCAGGGAATCGAACCCAGGAATCTTCTTGTGAGATGCACAAGGATTAGCTCATGAAAAATTAAGCGCAGAACCACATTTAACGTGGTGGCTTTTTCCGTGCAGTCGTTAGTGGGCGACCGAGCCGAGACCATCAATGTCACCACACTTGAGAACTCGGTCGAATCGCGGGCGATGGTGGAATCCTGGACCCGAACCCGACCACCACCGCCACCGTCGTGTCCACGCGGGGGCGGCTCAGCGCTCTGACCTCTCGACCTCTGAGCCACCCCGGGCGCCGTCGCTCTCCCCGCGTCCACCGCGCGCCCCGGCGTCAGTCGCCGGGGCGCGCGTCGAGCGCGCGGCTCGGGGGGAAGCGGCCGCGCCGTCGTTGATTTGTTCCACCGGCACCGAGCAGGGAGAAGGCGGCGATGGCGATGACGGCGGCAAAGAGGCGGCGATCGTCGCCGGAGAGCGGCCTCCGAGCGACGAAGCCCCCGTGGAGAAACGCGAAGAGGCGCTCCTCTATGGCCTCGAGGATCGGCCGCCCATCCTCCTCTGCATCATCCTCGGCTTCCAGGTCAGGAGAATGGTCAACGTCAGCGGGGCGGGTGGCGGCACTCGCGCGACACAGCAAGCCGGGGACTGGGCTCCATTCCCCATTCGAGCGCCGTTCTCTCTGTGCGTGTGGAGTTTGTTGGTTCCCCATTGCTCTCTCTCTGTGTGTGGAGTTTGTTTGTTCCCCATTGCTCTCTCTCTCTCTGTGTGGAGTTTGTTTGTTCCCCATTGCTCTCTCTCTCTCTGTGGAGTTTGTTTGTTCCCCATTGCTCTCTCTCTCTCTGTGTGGAGTTTGTTGGTTCCCCATTGCTCTCTCTCTGTGTGTGGAGTTTGTTTGTTCCCCATTGCTCTCTCTCTCTCTGTGTGGAGTTTGTTTGTTCCCCATTGCTCTCTCTCTGTGTGTGGAGTTTGTTTCCCCGCTGCTCTCTCTCTCTCTGTGTGGAGTTTTGTTTGTTCCCTGCTGCTCTGCAGTGGCTGTCCTCTGACTTCTCCGGTTCCATCTTCACATAGCGAGATAAATAAAAACATTCTGGCATTGGCTACTGTGAGTGCGAGTATGTGAGTGTGAGTGAGTGTGAGTGAGTGTGTGAGAGTGAGTGTGTGACGGTGAGTGACGGTGAGTGTGAGTGAGTGTGTGACGGTGAGTGACGGTGAGTGAGTGTGTGAGTGAGTGTGTGAGTGTGTGACGGTGCGTGAGTGTGTGACGGTGAGTGAGTGTATGACTGGAGCGTGCCACTAAGAGATGGGGCCTTACCATCAGCCCTACCAAAACTAAGCACCTGCCTGGGTATTTTGTACCATCGGACACTCCATACCTGGGCAGTGTGCTTATGACCGGCTCCAGTTTAACAGTAGAGGTCTCACTCCGAATCAGTCGAGCGGCAATATCTTTTCATCGGTTGCATAACGTGCGGGGGCTGCTGCCCCTCGCCTCCACTGAATTGTCGGGGCCGCTGTCCCCCGACTCCCCCGTTACGACCTCGCTACTGCGGGGGCTGCTGCCCCCCGCCTCCTCCATCCTAATCCCGCCATCCCCCGTCTCCTCCGTCGCAGTCATACTACTACCCCCGACTGCCCTGTCGGGTTCGGGCTACCGACTTACAACTCCTCGCCCCCCTGTGCCCCCGCCTTTGCTGCTGCCCGCGTAGGCATGGTTCGATCGTTAGGGTCGATGGCTTTACGCTTACGACGCGCTACGCGGGCTTAGTAGTGGGCGTGCTGCGGTGAGCGCGCTCGCGAAGTAAAACCCCGTCTCGTGCGCGAACGAAAGGGTACAGCGTGCCGACGCGTGACTCTGCGGCCGGCGCTTAGCCCCCGTGATCCGTTCGCATACACGCCCTACGTGCCCAGGTGCTAACGAACCCGACTCCGCTACCTGCCCGACTCCGTACACCAATCACACGCGAGGGACTTGGGGTCAGGGGTTAGAGGGCAGAGGTACCCACCGTGCGCGCGCAACTGATTGGAGGGAGTCACTCCGCGAACACCAGACGCTACACTCTCCTATTCGCCGTAAACAGCCGCGTATGCACGCGAACACAAAGCACTCCACCCCCCTCTTCGCACTCACAGCGACCACACGACACAGTTTTATCCTCTACTGGCGGTTTTATTCCCCGCGAATAACCCGCTAAACTACGTGTGTTTGTGTGAGTCAGCAGACACTACCTAGCCTCTCCTTCGGGGATTCTGGGCTAAATTTATCCTACCTGGCGCTCCACTTTCTACCCTCTGATTAATTAGCTCAAACTCACCTCTCTCTTACTTACGCTTACTTCCACTCTGATGCGCCAGAAGCTGTAGAAGGGCGATGCTGTGGGTCATCTCCGTGGAGGGTTGTGCCTGGCTGCGTTTAAGCTCGTCACACGGACGACTCGAACGGCTGACTCCAACACCCCGCTGCTCTCGATGTCTTGAAGAACTCTAACCTTTACTGCCCTGAATCCCCCTCCTCTTATCCTCCCTATAACAAAGGCATTCCGATGCTTGTACTCTCCTTGGCCTCCTGTCCAATCAGAGGCCTGGATTTTCCCGCCCTTTTGATACTCGGATCCCAGCTCTGGTGACGTCACCGCAGTGGTTCCCTCGACGTCCGCTCTCCGTTCTTTCCGCTATCCGCCCACTGGCTCGTGTTGTGTGTGTGTGGTTCCACTCGCGGTGGCTCAACAGCCCCTGCCGTGACCATGCCATTTTAATATCAGGTCACGACGCCGTGGTGCACGTCAGCCTCGGGGGTAGGTCGCCCAATTTCCCGGCCGCAGGAAACCATGAAGCTTGATCTCATTAGGGGCTTCTGGATGAAAACCTGTCGGCCAGGTGACCTTCCCTCCCGGCTTTACGTGGGGTATGCCGTGCATTCATGTGGGGGGCGGTGAGGGGCGTGCAGCGTCGGCGTCGTCACTCTCCGGTGGTGGCGTCACGGCGGTGGGCACGGCCCGACGGAGCGGCTCCGCTGCGGCCGCACCACAAACGCTGTGTGGAAGCTACCTGGTCTGTCGCTCCGCACGAAGCTTCAGGTCTTCTCGGCCACGATCATTCCCTCCCTTCTCTACACTTGCGAAACGTGGACCCCCCTAATGGAACATCTTTGCCGGTTAGAAACATTTAGGCTAGCCTGCCTACGATCCATCCTGGGTTTAACCAGGCTGGATTGTGTGAGGAGCTCACAAATCCTTGAAAGATCTGGGCAAGGTCCCATCGGTGAGCTCCTCCGGCAGGCAAGGCTGCGTTGGCTGGGTCATGTAGCCCGCATGCCCAGCCACCGCTTGCCGAAACAGCTTTTGTTCGGCCGAATCGAGGGGGCTAAACGGGCGCGGCACGGGCTAGAGAAGAGATGGAGTGATGTGGTACAGGAGGACGTGGAGCTGAGTGGACTTGCCGATGACTGGTACCAGAGGTGTCAAGATCGGCCTCTGTGGAGGAGGCTCGTGAAGGACTCTGCTGGGCAGATTGAGGCAGTCGCCTTCCAACAGCAACGGAAGGCGGAGGAGCGACGCTCACAACAAAGAGCAGAACGCCGGGTGGCTAAAGCACAGCAAGTTGGTACAGTAGGGGGCACAGGTGGTGCACCAGCCAGTCATCTCAGTCAGTCGACCCGTGGCATCTGGGTCTGCCCCGTGACCTCCTGCCCGCGGGCGTTCGACACTTCACGTGGCCTCAAGGTGCACATGGCCTGGCACAAGCGTCGTGGTGACGTCATCGCCACTTAGTGGCGAATGGCGGTTGTTGTTGTGTGACGGTGAGTGAGAGTGAGTGTGTGACGGTGAGTGACGGTGAGTGTGAGTGAGTGTGTGAGTGAGTGTGCGAGTGTGTGCGAGTTGGCGCAGTGGGGAGCACAGGTGATGCATCTGCCCCTTATCTCAGTCAGTCAACCAATGGCACCTGGGCCTGTTCTGTGACCTTGCTGCCAGCAGTTTTGCAGTTTCAGTTTATTTATTTTGGTACAGTAGAGCCCTGTGAGCCATTCGGCTCTTGAATCGGGTGCAACCACAACAAACAAAAACACGAACAAGAAAACATCTTAAAGTGACTATGTGACTGTGCAAACAGAAAATCCATGAAAAAAAACAGCGAGCTTTCCACATCTCACGTGGCCTCAAGGTGCACTTAGCCTGGTTTCTGTTGCTGTGAGTGTGTGAGAGTGTTATGAGTACGGGGAGCGGTGGTTTAACAGTTAGCACGCTGCGCTACGAACCTGGTGTCCCGAGTTCTATTCTCACTCATGATCAACACCAGTGACGATCTGAATCGGTCCTGGGCCCCTCTAGGCATACTCTGTCTCAAATTAGTAACTGGTGCGATGTGTAAACATCGCCACTGGGGAGACAAAAGCTGCCGGGCGTGGTGCTGGCCACCCACCCCCTCGTGTGCCGACCCGGCCTTCATAGGTGCTCGCTAACAGCACTTGCCCCAACAGTCTGTTAAGGCTACACGGGGGATCTCTGTCTTTGTATTTGCGCGCGTGAGCGTGGGGAGCGGCGGTGTAGTGGTTAGCGCGCTGGATTGTTTGAGGGGCTCACAAATCGCAGGGGAGTAGCTATAGCAGAGAGAGCAGGAGGCGTCTGGATGCCTGTGCGCCTCACCTGCCTGTCCACAGCACTACCTCCTCGCGTTCGGCGGCATCATCGCCATCCCACTCATCCTGGCCGAGCCGCTGTGCGCGGGCGGCGACGACCTCGTCAAGGGGCTCCTCATCAACACGATGTTCTTCGCGTCGGGGCTCGCCACGCTGCTGCAGACCACGCTGGGCACGAGGTGGGCCGCGCGGTGGGTCGGTGGTTGCTTGAGTGCGTGTGTGAGGGCGTGCGTGGGTGAGTGTGTTAGTGCGTGGGTGAGTGCCTGGGTGAGTGTGTGAGTGCGTGCGTGGGTGAGTGTGTTAGTGCGTGGGTGAGTGCCTGGGTGAGTGTGCGAGTGCGTGCGTGGGTGAGTGTGTGGGTGTGTGAGTGTGTGAGTGCGTGAGCGAGTGCGTGAGTGCGTTGGTGAGTGCGTGAGTGTTTGAGTGAGTGTGTGAGTGTGTGGGTGAGTGCGTGGGTGAGCGAGCGAGAGATTGACCACCCCTCCCCGTGTGCCCAGGTTGCCCATCCTGCAGGGTGGCAGCCTGAGCTTCGTGGCTCCGGCCTTTGCCATCCTCGCTCTTCCCGAGTGGCAGTGCCCGGCGCTCAATGGCACGGAGGCCGCCCACGGCGCCGCGCGGCCCAGCGAGCCCGAGGTGTGGCAGCCTCGCATGCGGGAGGTGAGAGAGGCACAGAGCCACGAAAGAGGATATTGCGTTGATTTGCTCGGCAGGTTTAAATCTGAGTTTGGTTCAAATCTTATTGGTTTGTTCCTGCGAGGTGATGCCCCCTCTGTTCAGGTGACTGACTTGGTGGATCGGGCCTCTCACTTTCTGGATCTTGTGCTGATGGACGACGTTTGCCGAGGCTTCACAAGGGACGCCACTTATCTAATCGCTGCTAAACTCTGTTGGCAGAATGACTGCAACTCACACGGTGTGAGTGAGGCCAACCAATCAAAACTGGCGAGTTGGTAAGCGTGTGTCAATTCAATTCGCTTGGCTGTGTCCGGTGGTGGAGGGTTTCTCACGACACGAAGCATTATGCATCCTTGCACCAATCAACAATGAAATGGATCTATCTCTCAACTTGCCAGGGGTATTTGTCGTGATGACCGACGCACGCGGCTGCCTGTAACCTAGCAGCGCTGAGCATACCCTGCCTTGCCAGGAGAAGGCAGCAAGTGGACTCTCGCACGTATCTTTCTGTCCGTACGGGGATATCATTATGTGAACATCTTCTTGGTTCTTTCGGTAAGGTCACGTAGAATGAGAATAAAATAATAAAATAACACAATAAAATTCTCACGACGTTTCGGCCACAACGCAAGCGGCCGTCTTCAGGTGAAAGGTACAGACCTGTCAGGACGACAGAGCTTCAATGAACGATGTGGTGATGTTATATCACCATTGTGATATAACATTAAGATAGTTTATATTTTAGTTTTTTATTGGTTTACTATGTGGTATTCATTATATAGTGTAGTGTATACCCAGTTAATGTTAATAGCTCAGCTTATTGAAGAATATATTGAGTACATTTATTATATTGATGTAATTTAGAATTAGGTTTTTCACATCGGTTTACTGTATAACAGTTGAGTTGTTGCAGCCCCCTTTGGCGTCCATGTACGAGGTGCCTCTGTGGATGTGTAGGCTTTGACTTTAACATCTATTTCTGTGACCAGTCACAAGCTAATCCCTTAGCTATTTCAATGCTAAATTACTAGTTGCCTCTGTGGATGTGTAGGTTTTGACTTTAACATAGCCATTTCCGTGACCAGTCACAAGCTAATCCCTCAGCTATTTGCACAAGCTAATCCCTTAGCTATTTCAATGCTAAATTGCTAGTTGCCTCTGTGGATGTGTAGGTTTTGACTTTAACATAGCCATTCCTGTGACCAGTCACAAGCTAATCCCTCAGCTATTTGATATGTAAACACCTTTGTCAAGGTGCCTCACTTCTCCCAACCAGCTTAAAAGTCGCTACGAATCTTAACATCGTTCATTGAAGCTCTGTCGTCCCGACAGGTCTGTACCTTTCACCTGAAGACGGCCGCATGCGTTGTTGCCGAAACGTCGTGAGAATTTTATTCTGTTATTTTATTATATTATTCTCATTCTATGTGACCTTGCCGAAAGAACCAAAGAAGATGAATCCTTGCAGTCACGAAAGCTTTAAATCGAGATTTGATAGTTTGTTCAGATGGACGAGTCCATCTATGTTCGGAAAAGAGAAGGGGGGAGACGAAAATGATGGATGCGGTCTGAAAGCCACCGTAAGCGTGAACAATGAATTAAGACCCAAAATGGTTTATCAAATCCTTCTAATGATTGCTAAGCCAGAATCCATCTTCTCGGTTGAAATTGTCTCTGTGTTTGTATATGTGGATAGCCTCATGAACGAATCTCTCATGGTAGCCAGATGGCTTGCAAAGAACCTCTGTCTTGGAAAAGTCAATGTCATGTGAGCCTACTGAATAATAACAGTGATCTGCCATGGCCGAGGTGTTGGTCCTACCGTGTTTTAGGTCTTCTTTGTGTTCACGAATGCGGTCCGAGATATGTCGTTTGGTTTCTCCAATGTAACTACTACCACAGAGGCAACTTAGTTTGTAGACGCCAGGGTACTGTATGTCCGGAATCACATATTTTACAGACGGAACCAGATCACGGATTTTATGTAATGTGTTGAATCGGACCTGGATCTTGTGTTTATTCAAGATTTTGGAGATCTTTTTTGTGATTCCCGCAATGTAGGGTAAAGTGATGGTTTTGAAAGGCTCCACAAGAGGGTCCTTCTTTATGGTTGGAGTGATAGCTTTGCGGATTGTGTAGTCGGAGTAACCATTAGCCGTAAGAGCTTGGTGTACGTGCTTGAGTTCACTGGCTATGTGTTCCTGGTCGGATATGCATTGGGCTCTATGGTGCAGAGTCTTGATGGGTGGGAATTTTATTGTTTTATATTTTTATTACTTTATTGTTTCCCTTCTACGTGACTTTACCGAAAGAACCAAGAATATGAATCCCTGCAGTCACGAAAGCTTTAAATAAAAATTATTAGTATTATTATGAATTGCCATCTGTTTGCCACCTGCACGGGGATTGTTGGCCAAGCGCCCACAATCCAGGGCCACTTGGCGCCCACGCTGTGGGGTTCCCGCACCTCGTGAACCCTGACGCGAGCCCCAAGCTCAGCGCTCCACAGCGGCGCACGCCCCCAGCTGTTGGTTTGACCCTTGGTGACGGGCGCACGCAGCTCCAGGGCGCGATCATGGTCGCGTCGCTCTTCCAAGTGGCGCTGGGCCTCACGGGCGCCATGGGACCGGCCCTGCGCCTCATCGGGCCGCTGTCCATCGCGCCCACCATCACCCTCATCGGCCTCTCGCTCTTTGGGGAGGCCGGGCGCAAGAGCGGCGGCCACTGGGGAATCGCGTGCCTGTGAGTGGGCACCACCCTCGCCACCACGGCCTAAACCTCACCCACCCACTCACCCACTCACTCACCTACTATCTCACCCACTCACTCACTCAGCCACTCACTTACCCACTCACTCATCCACTCACTCATTCACCCACCCACTAACCCACTCACTCACCCACTCACTCACCCACTCAAAGGTAAAGATCCCCTTAATTGCCTTAACAGACTGTTGGGGCAAGTGCTGATCGCGAGCATCTATGAAGGCCGAGTCGGCACACGAGGGGGGTAGGTGGCCAGCACCATGCCCGGCCACCTTTGTCTCCCCAGTGGCGATGTTTACACAGCGCACCAGGTATTCATTTGAGACTGAGTCGACCTATGAGAGGCCCAGAACCGGTTCAAATAATCGTCACTGGTATTGGCCGTGAACGGGAATTTAACCTGTCAGCAGGTTCGTAGCGCGAACCGCCCCACTCACTCGCGTGCTCACTCAGCCACCAAAGTGCAGTGTGCAGTAGTTCCACAGTAGAGGGCGATGTTGCTGCTAATCCTCATTGAATAATTTGCAGGTACTGAACTTTTCCAACTTGGCAAAAAAATGTATAACACTGACGGGTACTGAATGGGAATCGTGTGAATGTGTTGGTCCTATCGAAATCCAAAGCCATTAGAAACCGCCACGGCTGTAAGTCGCTACACCACGAGTGATGACGCGCACCTACGCGTGTGTCTAGGACCGTGGCCCTGATCGTGCTCTTCTCCCAGTACCTGCGCGATGTCGCCGTGCCGATGCCGGGGTTCGCCGGGGGGCGGTGCCGCGTGGTGAGGTATCCCGTCTTCAAGATGTTCTCTGTGAGCCTCCACCTGCACGGGCGCACCCTTGCATTCAGCCCCCCCCCCACCCACCGTCATCTCCATCATCATCTCCATCATCATCTCCATCATCATCTTCATCATCTCCATTATTTCCATCATCTCCATCATAATCTCCATCATCTCCATCATCATCTCCATCCTTGTCTCCACCGTGCTCATCAGTACAGTCAATCAATGTTGACTGCTGCCATATTCCTCTGGAAGCCTTGTATGTGGTGAGGACTTGTACCTTTACACTCGAGTGACCCCCGTTACCACTCGCCTAAAGGCAACACTCAATCAAACCTGTAAACGACAGGTTTGAGCCTTTTTCGATTTAAAACTTTCGTGACTGCAAGGATTAATCTTCTTTGGTTCTTTCGGTAAAGTCATGTAGAATGAGAATAAAACCGAAAGAACCAAAGAACAGATTTGAGCCTATATCACTCTCCACACACCTGGTCGATGGTCGATGTGAATTGCAAGAAATATGCTCAGATTGAGAACGTTTAGGCACAATCTCATGGCACTTTTCATTAACAACGGCCATTTCGTCTAGACACCCAAATGTCACGCACCTTCTGCCTTGATATTCTTTGAAGACGCCGGTGGAAGCGTCAACCGCATCAGAACATCAACAGGCCTCTGTGCACATCTCCTTAGTAAGTGGGAAATTCAAACCGAGCCACATTGGTGCGGTCGTGGCCATGCAACCAAAACTGTGGCCCATATATTAAAGCACTTTAATGGAGGAGGTGGAGGAACAGCGACACGAACTCTCTCTCTCTCTGCTGAAGGCCTCTCGTCGTGGCCAGAAGCAGCAGCAGCAGACCTCGACATTGGCATTTAGCTCCTGAACACGTTGCTGTCATCACGCGTAAGAATAGAATGATGCTGTGAGTATCATGGAGAGAAGCCACCACTACTAACGATGTCATCATGGTCACGTTCACGATGACACGGAAACTGTTCCTGATCAAGCCGCCCACCGTCACGCAGGGGAGTGTCAGAGCGCCTTACACGCGATGGGTGACTCACATCTCATCTCAGCACAGTGAACAGGGCACCCCCGGTGGGAGCTGTCCCTCGGCACGTGGCCCGCGAGTGGGCGTAGTCCACCAGGAGGGAGGGGAGGGTGATGATGGCTCCCGTGCGTAAATCCCAATTGAGTGATTCGCGGTGGCATTTTTTGAGTTTTGGAAAATTTAGACCACGACGCCAGCACGCGATGGGCCGCGACTCGCCACGAACGCCGTCACGCGGGACTTTTAACGTCCACCGCGAGGGAGACAGACGGCGCGCGGTGCTGTTACGGTTAACGCGGTGGCGCGGTAGTAACCAGGGTGACCTTCCGGGTCTGAACCTCGGCAACAAGGGGCGAACGTGCTACCGCTGCTGGGCCATGCGGCCGCCATGCTCGTTATGTTCACGAGAGAGGTCCCTTCCACAGGAACGTGGAATTTCCACAGCCGTCTCAGGGCCAGCAATAAACCGGGCATTACACAATAACAACAACGATGTGTTGGACATGAGGTTATGTAGACCTTGAGACCATGAATGTTGGAGAACGTTCCGTGTTAAACATTATAGCTCCGCACACGCTGTTCCTGTTTGGAAAAGTAATTTCTCGTTACGCAACTGAAGACGGACAGCGGCGTTTAACCATTCACTGGAATAGGTCACACATCCGAACAGAAGTCTCCCCTCTCAGCATGCGATGATCATTCACGGACATCTGTGAGCAAGAGCTTCATAGCTCATCGGATTCCTCCAGTCTAAATAAAGATTCTGATGAGGACTATGTTGGTGACCAGGCTGAGACCATCAGCTCACAAGTGGCTTGGAACCTGGATTCGAACCCAGGACCTGAGCGGTGTACGGCCCAGCGCTCTGACTTCTGAGCCACCTGAAAATCTGTTGTGTCGTCACAGGGCTAGCGATCCGAGTCTAACTCCAACTCACGCGGTGTGGCGGTGGCGCAGTGGTTAGCGCACAGCGCGACAAACTTGCTGAAAAAGAGCTTCAATTGAAAAAGAGCTTGATAGCTCATCGGATTCCTCCTACAGTCTAAATACAGGTTCTGACAAACCCGGCGACAGGAGTTTGATTCCCAAACCGTTCACGACCCATAAAAGTAGTGAATATTGAACCGGTGTTGGACCTCCCCTAGGTCGACTCAGTCATAAATGAGTATCAGCATTGGGGAGACAAAGGCGGCAGGACGTGGCGCTGGCCAGCCACCCCCTCGTATGCCGTAGCGGCCTTCGTGGGTGCTCGCTCACGGCACTTGCCCCAACAGTCTGTCAAGGTGAGACGAGGGGATATAACAGCTCTTGCTTCAAAACTCTTAGGCTTAACGAGGAATATGTGTCTGTGTGCCTGAAGTATATGTGTGTGTTTGATCATGGTGTGGTGTGTACACATCACTATTAGGGAGACAAAGGCGGCTGGTGGTAATGTTCTTCTGTACCATGCTAGTCTTCATAAGTGCTCGCTAACAGCACTTGCCCGAACAGTCTGTTAAAGGCTATGTGGGCGATTTTTGCCTTTGTATATGTGATCTGTGTGTGTGCATGCGTGGCTGATCCGTTTGTCAATGCGTGCACGCTTAGCTAGCAATTAACCAGGGGTACGATGTCAGTGAGAGGGGCACTGGATGAGGGTGACCAAGTGGAGGGATGCGGAGTGGAAGGGCGTGCGAGAGAAACTGAATGCGGCACTCGTGCAGAGTGGAACTCAAAGCCAGGTGGGCATGAACATATTAAATGATCAGGTGCAGAGAGAGGCAATCACTTGGTGAGGCCCACCTGGGGCCAGAGAGAGTGCGGGGAGATTTAACTGAAGAGGGTACAAGTGCGATTGTGGCCATGCAACCCGCGTGATGGGCCACATCGTAAACTCATAGTGAACTCACAGAGATCCATGTACGTCTATGGGCGATGTTAGATCTGTACTGTCTAAACTCTGTACCGTCGTAGGACGGTGCAGGTGTTACACTCCACCATCTCCATCATCTTGCTGCAGTACATTCAAAAACATAGGGAATGGCAGCCTATGGGCCAAATAGTGAACCACTGTAGCCTCGGCTCCTTTACCGCAGGAGCAGGATCAGTAAAAGGACACGGACTCTCTCTCTCTCTCCCTCTCTGGGCTGAAGCCTCCCTCTCGTCGTGGCCAGCGGCAGCAGCAGACCTCAAGACGGAACGCATTGCTGCTGGGTAAGAGCCGAGTGCAAGTCGAGAAGGCAGGGTACAGAAGGGGGACAGAGACACTGATAGCGTGGAGCGGACCATTTGATGCATTTTTCCATCATATATCCGTCTCCAACGTATTAAAAATTGTGCCAATTAAAATTTTTTAATTAAAAATTGGCACACCTCCCATCAGGCACCACAGCTTCCTGGGAGTACACTAATTTCAGCCGCATTGACTTCGGCACAAGCAGAACTCTGGGCCATTCGCGACCCGCCGTGTCTCTCGCTTGAACCATTGTAGGGAGCGCTGCCAGAAGCGTTGTCTGCACAAAGGGACCCTCAATGGAAGATGATACTCCAATGTATATGACAGTATTATTATTGTTAGTACTGTATATACAATGCCAGGGACATTTGACTGCTTGGTGATGCACGTGGCCTGTGATGCAGCATTGTGGAGGCGAGCGTTGGTGGCTCACACGACTCCCCGTGGGCATTCAGGTGTCGTACCGTGGGGCTCGCCAGGAGAGAGCAGTATAGCACAAAAGTGGACTCCACCTGTTCCCTCTGTATGGGATCGAGTGTTTCCCCTTCTCATGCGTGCGGTTTCTCCGAGCACTCCGGTTTCCTCCCACGTGTAAACGTTCATTAATTGGTCGGCATCACCTTCATATTCAGAGGACCAATTGTTGGCGGCTATCGCGTGGCTGCCTTCCAGCTTGCCTGTGGTTCTTCTCGAGTAATTCACTCTGTTCGAGAGCGAGCTGATGCTGTGCGCCGTCGCACGCTGTAAATGATCATCATCATTATTACTACTTTTGCTGCTGCGGCTGGCGCAGGTGCTGTTGGCCATGTGCATCTCGTGGCTGCTGTGCTACATCCTCACGCTGACAGACGCGCTCCCAGCAGAGCCGGGCGTGCCGGGTCACCTCGCCAGAACCGACCTCCACCTGCAAGCCATCCAGCATGCGCCCTGGTTCCGCGTCCCCTACCCAGGTGCACACACAAAGACAGAGATCCCCCGTGGAGCCTTGACAGATTTGGGGCAAGTGCTGTTAGTGAGCACCTATGAAGGCCGCCACGGCAGACGAGGGAGTGGGTGGCTAGCAGCCTAGCACCACGCCCGGCCGCCTTTGTCTCGCCAGTGGCGATGTTTACACATAGCAACAGGTACTCATTTGAGGCTGAATCGACCTAGGGGAGGCCCAGGACCGGTTCAGATAATCGTCACTAGTTTTTGCCATGAGCGGGAATCGAACCCGTGTCTTCGGGTTCGGAGCGCTGCATAGCGCAAAGCGCTATACAACCGCTCCGCACACATACACAGCGTGCTAACCACTGCACCACTACTCACCACACACACACAGCCCTCCACACGCAAAGCAGCAATGGCCAGGGCGGCCTGCCAGATTCTAACCGCAAACCTCTGCAACACGCAGCGACCTGGCACGGGCGCCACTCGCTACCCCTCAGCACGTGGGTCAGTGCGCGTGGGTGACGTCTGGTCGCAAAGACGTGGGCGCGTAGTGAGGTACAACAGTGGTTCTCGTGCGCCCTCTGCTGACCGCCCCGCGTAGCGCTCGCAGGCTGCCTACGGCATCGTCGCCGTGGCGGGCCCCCAGTGGATGCACGCGGCTCCAAGGGCGTCCTGACCAATAACGCAGCGCTATTCACCTGCAGGCTGCGCCACAGTGTTCCATATTAGTTTCCTTTGAACTATGCCATGGCTAATATGTATACTATAATAATGTAACTGCTATTAGCCAAATAACCCTGGAGCTGAAAATTACCAGCAAATTACTAAATAATAATATGCACATTCATATGTGTATTGGTGTGTCCTGTATTATTGAGAACCACGGGAACAACCACGGGGACATCCACGGGGACAACCACGGGGACATCCAGGGGGACATCCACGGGGACATCCAGGGGGACATCCACGGGGACAACCACGGGGATATCCACGGGGACATCCACGGGGACATCCAGGGGGACATCCACGGGGACATCCACGGGGACACCCACGGGGACATCCAGGGGGACATCCAGGGGGACATCCACGGGGACATCCAGGGGGACAACCACGGGGACATCCACGGGGACATCCAGGGGGACATCCACGGGGACATTCACGAGGACATCCACGGGGACACCCACTGGGAGTACATGCGACATGCAACATGCGACATGCAACATGCGACATGCAACATGCAACATGCGACATGCAACTCCACATACCCAGGCGTCAGGATCGAACCCGCGCGACCTCCTGCGCACCAGGCGAGGGAGGTGAATTCTCCCCGCCACCCCGAACCGGACGGTGACGACGGCTGCCCCCGTGTCCCCCGCGCAGGGCAGTGGGGCGCGCCGACGCTGGGCGCCGCCTCGGTGCTGGGCATGCTGTGCGGGGTGCTGGCCTCGGCGCTCGAGTCCGTGGGGGACTACGCGGCCTGCGCCCGCCTCGCCGGAGCGCCGCCGCCGCCGGCGCACGCCGTGAGCCGCGGCCTCGCGGCCGAGGGTCTCGGCTGCCTGCTAGCCGGGGCGCTGGGCACGGGCAACGGCACCACCTCCTTCAGCCAGAACATCGCCGCGCTCGGCATCACCAGGGTGATGGTGGCCGTCCGTGTGTGGGTGTATCTGTGTGAGTGTCTGTGTGATTGTGTGTGTGTCTGTGTGTGTCTGTGGGTGTATCTGTGTGAGTATTTGTGTGAGTGTCTGTGTGTGTGTCTGTGTGTATCTGTGGGTGTATCTGTGTGAGTGTTTGTGTGAGTGTCTGTGTGTGTGTGTCTGTGTGTGTCTGTGGGTGTATCTGTGTGAGTGTCTGTGTGATTGTGTGAGTGTGTCTGTGTGTGTCTGTGGGTGTATCTGTGTGAGTGTTTGTGTGAGTGTCTGCGTGTGTGTCTGTGTGTGTCTGTGGGTGTATCTGTGTGAGTGTGTGTATGTGTGTGTCTCGTTGCGTGGGGAGCGGTAGTGTAGATTCCCGCCAATACCAGTGAAGATTTTTTGAACTCAAATGAGTACCTGGTGCGGTGTGTAAACATCATCACTAGGGGGCGTGGTGCTGGCCACGCAGACGGGTGCTCGCTCACAGCACTTGCCCCGACAGCCTGTTGAAGTCTACACAGCAGGGGACCTTTGTCTCGCTGCGTGACAATGCAGGTGGGCAGTCGGCTGGTGCTGCAGGTCAGCGGAGTCATCCTCGTGCTGATGGGGATCTTCGGGAAGTGTGGAGCCGTCTTCATCACCATCCCCGAGCCCATCATCGGCGGCATGTTCCTGGGCACCTTTGGAATGATCGCCGCCGTGGGCATCTCCACCCTGCAGGTTGGGGGTCGCCCCGTGCGCATCCGGTTCGTGCGGCAGGCTGCGGTGTGGATACCGTGCAGGAGGAATGCAGATGTTCGCGGTTCGGACCCGGCAGGCCACACTGGTTAACACTGCGGCGATGTATTCACCTTAAAAAAAACACTCACCCTCCGCTTCACGGGTGGACGCAAAAGATCCCGCAGTGTTGTTGGAAAACAGCAAGAGCCCATTGTGTGGCGGCCTCATGCTACAACTTTGCCAAATTCAAAATAATTGGGAGATTTCGCAACTCCGTTGGTTTTACACAAACAGTGGCAATTGTCGCCTGAGCTACCCGCAGGCTGATTCCTGCTGCTTGTCCCACACGGGGTTGGCATGATATGCGGCTGCTCTGTGTATGTGTCTGTCTGTCTGCGTGTGTCTGTGTGTGTGTCTGTCGGTCTGTGTGTGTGTCTGTGTGTGACTGTGTGTGACTGTGTGTGTGTTTGTATCTGTGTGTGTTTGTGTGGGTTTGTGTCTGTGTGTGTGTGTCTGGCCTGGCACAAGCGTCGTGACGTCACCGCCACTTAATGGCGAATGGCGGTTGTTGTTGTGTGTCCATGTGTGTTTGTGTCTGTGTGTGTGTCTGTGTGTGTGTCTGTGTGTATTTGTGTTTGGGGAGCGGTAGTGTAGCAGTTGGCGCGCTGCGCTATAAACCCGGCGACCCGGGTTCGATTCCCGCTCACGGCCAACAGCAGTGACGATCATCTGAAGCGGTCATGGGCCTCCCCTAGGTCGACTCAGCATCAAATGAGTACCTGGTTCGGTGTGTAAACATCGCCACTGGGGAGATAAAGGCGGTCGGGCGTGGTGCTGGCCAACCATCCCTTCACTAACAGCATTTGTTAAGGTTATACGGGGGATCTTTGTCTTTGTGGAATCTCACTGCCGACGTTTGTTCTCTCCTGGGAGGTCATAAATTCTCTCGGTGGGTTTTAAATGGGTGCAGAAGTGTGCTCGCAAATAGCAACAAGACACAACTCCCCATCCGTATGCTTTGCGTGTCAAAATTTACTTCTCATTTACCCAGGACAGCCACACTGAGTCCTGCTACATTGGGCTATTTGACCAACACCAATGCCATTGTATGATTGCATAGGTTTCCTCTGGAAACAGGGGAAGAACACACAAACGCCATACTCGGACCCACTCACACTCTGCAGAACAGGGGTCAAAATATACAAACCTCACAAGAAAAGGCGCCCGATTTGGGAATCGAACCCTGGTGGTTTTTTGCTGCGAAGCACCGGCTATGCCACCCACCCTGCCACCCACATATAAACCTGCGCATCGCGTGCACAATGCTGTCAGCCTTGTCGAGACCACCGGCTCACAAGAGCTGAATGCCTTGGCAGTGTTATCGCTTAGCCCGCCAGCTCACCGTGCCCCTGCCGTGTCAGTACGCAGACATGAACTCATCCAGGAACGTGTTCATCGTTGGGCTGTCCATCTTCTCGGGTCTGGCCATTCCAGCTTGGCTCAAGGAGAACCCCGGGGCCATCAACACCGGTAGGGACCCACCGCTCACAGGCGCCACGCACGCAGCCCGGCGGGAGCACGTCCGCCGCTCGTTCTTACGCAGGCTCGCGGTTCGAATCCCCCAGCCCACCCTGGTAAATGCTGCGGTGTAATAACCGCTAAACCCCGACGCGCCGTCTGCCTCCCTCACGGTGGACGTTAAAGGTTCGGCGCGACGTCGTTCGGAGCGAGTAGCGGCCCATCGCGTGCCGGCGTCGTGGTCCACATTTTGCAACTGGGAAACTTACACCGCAAATCTCTCAATTGGGATTTACGTGCGGCAGCAATCGTCACCCCCCCCCCCCCTACTGGCAGACTACGACCGCTCGCAGGCCACGTGCCGAGTCAACTTGTACCCACACAGGGAGAGCTGCCACCGGGGGTGCCCTGTCCAATTCGTTGAGATGAGACGCGAGATGTAAAGGAGGGCGCTCTACCAAACCACAACTCGCCATCAACGTGTTGAGACGGCCACGCTGGGGCCGTGTGGACTGTCACGACACCAACGATGGAAGTGGAAGACGGATGTTGCCTGTGATTTGTGCTCCGACTGCTCTTTTAACATCATCGTGAGCTTAAAATAAAACACGCACACAATGTACCTGGTACTGGCCAAACAGCCCAATGCTGAAGTATTTTCTGCAGATTATTCAATTGGGGTCGCACTTGGCAGGACCCTCCTGAAAGTCTTGAGCCTTCCTTGGGTCAACAAACAAAATAAATAAAAACCATCAGCCATGTTCGATCCACTATTGGATGAAATCATCCCCAAGCCGCTGCCACCTCTCGCGATGCTGGCGATGCAGCGTTCCACCCTGCACACGAACTGCTTTCACCGCTCCGTCTCCCCACGGGATGACTCCGGGACGCGTTCCACTCCCTGGCTGCCGCTCCGTCATCTTCGCCGCCCACCGTCTCTTCTGGCCGTGATGCGACCGGCTCTCGCCTCACTCCATTTTCTTTACACTTCGGATAACCAACCAATCGATCTTTATTGCACGTGCCAATATCGCCCTCAATAAGGTCGGCATCGGCGCACATTACAGCAGAACTGGAACGGTCCCGATGGCACGGAGCAACAGGAATGAAGACAGAGACCCATCACGCCCTCAGCGGCTCGCACCGACTGAGCAGAGTAAATTACAAGATAGCGAAAAATAAAGTACAGCCATGCACAACGACTAGCAAGATAAGGAGTGGATAAAATAAATAATAAGTAAAGAAAAAATTCCCCATTCTTTGTCTGTAACATCGTGCGCATGCACTCTCCTCCACGTGCTGCTCTGTGTGTCTCACAGCGCAGCTCCCAGCGTGCCGCTCTCCACGCTTCTTTGTCCACTCTTCAGGTTTCTTTCTCTGTGTCGACCGTGAACGATCAGTGGCGTGTCTGGGCCATGCAGCATCGCTGGGAGTGCGCCCTGACGTGAAACTTTCTTGTTTGGGATCCAAGTTCAGATTTCCTAAGAGCCCTCCGACCTGCTCTCTTCCACCCCTCAATGTTACAGTTTTTATTTTTTTGGTCCGCCTACAACAGCTCTTCTCGAGCGAAGTTAAAACAAACGCCACCATTTTTCGATTTAAAGCTTTCGTGACTGCAAGGATTCATATTCAAGTGGCCTTCATCAGGTGAAGGGACGCGACTGTCTGGAGGACTGTCTGGAGGACTGTCCTCCAGACAGTCTCGTCCTGATGAAGGCCGCTTGTGTTGTGGCCGAAACGTCGTGAGAATTTTATTGCGTTATTTTATTTTATCAAATTATTATTTTATTCTCATTCTACGTGACTTTACCGAAAGAACCAAAGAAAACACCACGATTATTATGGCATTTAGCTCCTGGGCAAAGTGCTGCCGTCATGCGCAAGGATATCATTATTCACAGTCGTCTGTAATCCACTGCTAGATGAAGGCCTCGCTATCCACTATGGGGCTTGTTTGAAAAGTACTACTACCGTACTATTATTGCTTGCCCAAGGAAATCCCCTCGGAGTCTCGACTGATTTTTAAGGAGCGTTGTTCCAAGTTTTCACAGTAGAGGGCGACCTTGCTGCTGCTGCAATGTGCAGTCCACATTGAGTGTTTAGTTTGCTGTCCTTCCCCCCACACCTCCGACGAGCACGGTTGGCTACGTGTGGTGCAAAAGAAGTCAACACACACACAACCTGCAGGTGATATTTCAGCATTGGGATGTTGTTGGTCGATTGCGGTTACACCGCGCGTTGTGTTGCTCAGCTGTGGGAGGGAGCCGGAGGGAGTCGTGTAGCACGTGGGGGCATGCAGCAGACGGTGACAGCGGTCCCGTCTCTCTGTCTCTCCCTCCGCGTTGGGCAGGGGTGGCGCCGATCGACCAGACGCTGACCGTGCTGTGCACCATGAGCATGTTCGTGGGAGGATTCCTCGGCTTCGTCCTCGACAACACCGTGCCCGGTTCGTTGTCCTCTCACCGAGTCTCACCGTGGAGTGATCCGTCCACGTCGCGCGCGAGTCTCACGTCACGCCACGCGAGTCTCACGTCACGCGAGTCTCACGGTGCGTCACGCGAGTCTCACGTCACGCGAGTCTCACGTCACGCGAGTCTCACGGTGCGTCACGCGAGTCTCACGCCACGCGAGTCTCACGTCATGCGAGTCTCACGTCACGCGAGTCTCACGTCACGCGAGTCTCACGTCACGCGAGTCTCACATCACGCGAGTCTCACGCCACGCGAGTCTCACGTCACGCGAGTCTCACGTCACGCGAGTCTCACGTCACGCGAGTCTCACATCACGCGAGTCTCACGTCACGCGAGTCTCACGTCACGCGAGTCTCACGTCACGCGAGTCTCACATCACGCGAGTCTCACGTCATGGGAGTCTCACGTCACGCGAGTCTCACGTCACGCGAGTCTCACATCACGCGAGTCTCACGTCACGCGAGTCTCACGTCACGCGAGTCTCACGTCACGCGAGTCTCACGTCACGCGAGTCTCACGTCACGCGAGTCTCACGTCATGGGAGTCTCACGCCACGCGAGTCTCACGTCACGCGAGTCTCACATCATGGGAGTCTCACGTCACGCGAGTCTCACGTCATGGGAGTCTCACGCCACGCGAGTCTCACGTCACGCGAGTCTCACGTCATGGGAGTCTCACGCCACGCGAGTCTCACGTCACGCGAGTCTCACGTCACGCGAGTCTCACGTCATGGGAGTCTCACGTCACGCGAGTCTCACGTCACGCGAGTCTCACATCATGGGAGTCTCACGCCACGCGAGTCTCACGTCATGGGAGTCTCACATCATGGGAGTCTCACGTCACGCGAGTCTCACGTCACGCGAGTCTCACGTCATGGGAGTCTCACATCATGGGAGTCTCACGTCACGCGAGTCTCACGTCACGCGAGTCTCACGTCATGGGAGTCTCACATCATGGGAGTCTCACGTCACGCGAGTCTCACATCATGGGAGTCTCACGTCACGCGAGTCTCACATCATGGGAGTCTCACATCATGGGAGTCTCACGTCACGCGAGTCTCACGTCATGGGAGGCTCACGTCACGCGAGTCTCACGTCACGCGAGTCTCACGTCATGGGAGTCTCACATCATGGGAGTCTCACGTCACGCGAGTCTCACATCATGGGAGTCTCACGTCACGCGAGTCTCACGTCACGCGAGTCTCATGGTGCGTCAAGCGTGTCTCTGTGGCGAGATGTTAACTCCCTCGCCTGGTATGCAGGAGGTTGTGGGTTCGATCCCGACCCTGACGCCTTCTGTGTATTGGAGTTTGAATGTTTTCTCCGTGGTCGCGTGGATTTTTCTACGGGTCCTCCGGTTTTTCCCTCCACATTTATAATCAACATCACGAGTTTAGAGCATTTGGCAGCAATACATTTGCACGTGATAAGCCGCTTCGTTGAGCTTTCATTTGTGGCCGGGTCGCTTCTGAAAAAGAGCGAAATAGCTGAGTGGGCCTTGCCTGGTGAAATAAAAATAATTTAGTTATCTCACAGCGCGCCGCACGCATCTAACAGTGCGCACTGAATCACTATGGAGTCTGCGCTCCGACAACGGAGGACGAGTAGCAAAACAACTCTCTATCTCTCTCTGCTGAAGCCCTCTCGTCGTAGCCAGCAACGCTCGACATTGGCATTCAGCTCCTCAACAGGTTGCTGCTGCTGCTGCCATTATACGCAAGAGAGGGAGAGACGGAAGGATAGACACGAGGAACCACAGGCGATGGGGGAGGCAGCGACCGGGCGCTGTGCCGGCGTCGCCAGCTGTTGCTCAAGCTCTGCTGGTTCTCGTTACATTCAGATATTTTCCACCAAATAATGAGCGCTTGTGCGTGTGAGAGGAAAACTAAAAAACCCGGAGAAAACCTATCCATGCGATTGCAACACGCAATCCCCAATGATTGCCCGAGCTCTGTGGTTCTACCATGGGATGTTTGATCAACTCCAATTTAATGTTTGTACGTGTGGGAGGAAAACCGAAGCGCCCGGGTAAATGCAGCCATCCCTCTGAGGTCACCAGAGTGCGGTGCGCCAAGATGGGGCTTCGTCCAGAGCAGGCCGGGTTGCTCAGAGGTCAGAGCGCTGAGCAAGGCGATGGCCGGGTCCGGGTTTCATCCGGCAGTCACTCAACCGGGTTCTCAAGCGTAGAGAGCTGATGGCCTCAGCCCAGTCAGCGATGAACTCCAACTCCTAAGTATTTAAAGGAATGGTTCGAGTCATCACGAAACGACGCAACCTCACTCTCGCGTGCGGAGTGCGTGAAAAAGTGTCGCCCAGACTCTGACTGGACCGTACATCTCAGAGGCAACTCCAGGATGTCCTCTTCTGCGAAGGCCCCTTCTCAAAACGCGAATGGCACGATCGGGATAACACGACGGTCAAAACGACGACGGCGGGCGCTTGTTTGAACCACGGCGGTGGCGGCGTGGCGGCACTTTGATTACGCGGTGCAATTGCCACTCCCGGCCTGCCCCCCCCCCCCATCCCATCTCGCCGCCCGTCGCTCCGCCAGGCACCGTGGAGGAGCGTGGGCTGCTGGCGTGGAGGAGCCACGGGCAGAGTGACCCGGACGGCGCCCAGGGCGGGGGCGACGCCGCGACGCGTGTCTACGACCTGCCGCTCATCGCGTCGCTGCTGCGCAAGTGGACGTGGCCGCGCCGCGTCCCCGTCTGCCCGACCTTCGGGCAGAGGCCGGCTGGCGCGCCGATCGCCGTGGGAATGAACTGCGCCGCGTAGCCGTGGCGACGGCGGAGCACCCGGCTTGGAGGATGGATCGGCGACGGCATGGGATTACCATAAAACAAATTCTACGATTTGTTGTTGTTGTTGTTGTTACCAAGTGAAGCCCACTGGGCTATGTAGCTCTTTTTCACAAGCCACCTGGCCACAAATGATAGCTCAACGAAGTGGCTTACCATGTAAGCCAGTCACAGCCAAATAATCTAAACGCACGTTTTTTAAATGTGGAGAGATTAAACGCAAACTCCAAATATACAGGCATCGTCAGGGTCCAGATTGAGCCCACACCCTCCGGCATACCAGGCGAGGGAGATAACATCTCGCCCCCACAGCACCCCAGCTTCAGCCAAATCGAGCCAAGCAGTCTTGATTTGAAGCTTTCGTGACTGCAGGAATCCATACTCTTTGGTTCTTTCGGTAAAGTCACGTAAGTAGAAAAATAAAATACATTTTTCTACCTATGTGACTTTACCGAAAGAACCAAAGACCCAAGCATAGTGCGTTGATCACGTGTTCTCAGTGCTGTGACGTTACATCGCAAACTACGCAATTGGGATCACAGCAGCAGCTGCGACATCGCCCCCCTACTGCGGAAAATTGGCAGAATCCTCCTGAAACAGATTCCTTGAGACTCAGTGAGGCCTTCCTAGGTAAACGAGCATATTAGCCATAGTAATAATGTAGCTCTTTTCACAGATGAATACAGATTTTTGTGTAATACAGATTGTATCTTGCTGTTTTACATGCTCAAATAAATAATATGTTTTGTGATAATCTCAATCAGTTAACTGTAAGACTCCCTTGATAATGTGCATGTTGTACCACAAAGCATGATGTGTGGTTAATGCAGACGTGGCGATAGGCGTCCGTTTGGTGTTTGAACGTCTTAAATCCCCCTGTATACTTGCCGGAAAGGGTAAAGCCAATTATTTTTTCAACATATTATACATCATGTAACCATTGTAATTGCAACAGTACAGTATATATAATGACTAGTGAGTATCATGTTGTCATGTAGCTATCGCGAATACTCAACAAAATGTTTCGTGGGCGATGAGGCTGTGGCACAGTGGGAGAGCGTCCGCTGCTCGTTGCAGGGGCTCGCGGCTCGGATTCCATGGGCCGCCCTGGTTAAGACTGCAGTGATAAGTTAAGACTGCAGTGATAAGTTAAGACTTTCAGTGATGAGCTGAAACTGCAATGATAAGTTAAGATGTCAATGATAAGTTAAGACTTGCAGTGATAAGTTAAGACTGCAGTGATAAGTTAAGACTGCAATGATAAGTTAAGACTGCAGTGATAAGTTAAGACTGAAGTGATAAGTTAAGACTGCAGTGATAAGTTAAGACTGCAGTGATAAGTTAAGACTGCAGTGATCAATTTTGATTTAAAGCTTTCGTGACTGCAGTGATTCATATTCTTGGTTCTTTCAGTAAAGTCACGTTGAAGGGAAACAATGAAATAATAAAATATATAAAGCAATAAAATTCTCACGACGTTTCGACTGTAACACAAACAGTCATCATCAGGTGTGAAAACCAACGGCAAGAAGTATTCGAAAGAAGTGGCGGTTTGTATTTATTTATTTTTTAACGTTAGCACCACGGATAGCGATTTTACAGTTTGTTTAGATGGACGAGTCCATCTATGTTCGGAAAAGAAGAGGGGGAAGACAAAAAATTAATGTATGCTGTCTGAAAGCCACCGTAAGCATGAACAATCAATTAAGACCCAAAATGGTTTATCAAATCCTTCCAATGATTGCTAAGCCAGAATCCATCTTCTCGGTTGAAATTGTCTCTGTGTTTGTATATGTGGATAGCCTCATGAACGAATCTCTGATGGTAGCCACATGGCTTGCAAAGAACCTCTGTCTTGGAGAAGTCAATGTCAGACAGCATACATTAATTTTTCGTTTCCCCCTCCTCTTTTCCGAACATAGATGGACTCGTCCATCTAAACAAACTGTCAAATCGCTATCCGTGGTGCTAACGTTTGAAAATAAATAAATACAAACCGCCACTTCTTTCAAATGTTTCTTGCCGTTGGTTTTCACACCTGATGATGGCTGTTTTTGTTAGTCTAAACGTCGTGAGAATTTTATTGTTTTATACATATTTTATTATTTCATTGTTTCCCTTCAACGTGACTTTACCGAAATAACCAAGAATATACTGCAGTGATAAGTTAAGACTTGCAGTGATAAGTTGACTGAAGTGATAAGCTGAAACTGCAGTGATAAGTTCAGACTGCAGTGATAAGCTAAGACTGAATTGATAAGTTAAGACTGCAGTTATAAGCTAAGACTGAAGTGATAAGCTAAGACTTGCAGTGATAAGCTAAGACTGCAGTGATAAGTTAAGACTGAAGTGATAAGCTAAGACTGCAGTGATAAGTTAAGACTGCAGTGATAAGTTAAGACTGAAGTGATAAGCTAAGACTGCAGTGATAAGTTAAGACTGCAATGATAAGCTAAGACTGAAGTGATAAGCTAAGACTTGCAGTGATAAACTAAGACTGCAGTGATAAGTTAAGACTGAAGTGATAAGCTAAGACTGCAGTGATAAGTTAAGACTGCAATGATAAGCTAAGACTGAAGTGGTAAGTTAAGACTGCAGTGATAAGCTGAAACTGCAGTGATAAGTTAAGACTGCAGTGATAAGCTAAGACTGCAATGATAAGTTAAGACTGCAGTGATAAGCAAAGACTGCAGTGATAAGCTGAAACTGCAGTGATAAGCTAAGACTGAAGTGATAAGCTAAGACTGAAGTGATAAGTTAAGACTGAAGTGATAAGTTAAGACTTGCAGTGATAAGTTAAGACTGAAGTGATAAGCTAAGACTGAAGTGATAAGCTAAGACTGCAGTGATAAGTTAAGACTGCAGTGATAAGTTAAGACTGAAGTGATAAGCTAAGACTGAAGTGATAAGCTAAGACTGAAGTGATAAGTTAAGACTGAAGTGATAAGTTAAGACTTGCAGTGATAAGTTAAGACTGAAGTGATAAGCTAAGACTGAAGTGATAAGCTAAGACTGCAGTGATAAGTTAAGACTGCAGTGATAAGTTAAGACTGAAGTGATAAGCTAAGACTGAAGTGATAAGCTAAGACTGCAGTGATAAGCTAAGACTGCAGTGATAAGCTAAGACTGAAGTGATAAGCTAAGACTGCAATGATAAGCTAAGACGGCAGTGATAAGCTAAGACTGAAGTGATAAGTTAAGACTGAAGTGATAAGCTAAGACTGCAGTGATAATCTAAGACTTGCAGTGATAAGCTAAGACTTGCAGTGATAAGCTAAGACTGCAGTGATAAGCTGAGCCTGCAATGATAAGTTAAGACTGAAGTGATAAGCTAAGACTGCAGTGATAAGTTAAGACTGAAGTGATAAGCTAAGACTTGCAGTGATAAGCTAAGACTGCAGTGATAAGCTGAGACTGCAATGATAAGTTAAGACTGAAGTGATAAGCTAAGACTTGCAGTGATAAGCTAAGACTGCAGTGATAAGCTAAGACTTGCAGTGATAAGCTAAGACTGCAGTGATAAGTTAAGACTGCAGTGATAAGCTAAGACTTGCAGTGATAAGCTAAGACTGCAGTGATAAGCTAAGACTTGCAGTGATAAGCTAATACTGCAGTGATAAGTTAAGACTGCAGTGATAAGCTAAGACTGAAGTGATAAGCTAAGACTGCAGTGATAAGTTAAGACTGCAGTGATAAGTTAAGACTGAAGTGATAAGCTAAAACTGCAGTGATAAGTTAAGACTGCAATGATAAGCTAAGACTGAAGTGATAAGCTAAGACTTGCAGTGATAAACTAAGACTGCAGTGATAAGTTAAGACTGAAGTGATAAGCTAAGACTGCAGTGATAAGTTAAGACTGCAATGATAAGCTAAGACTGAAGTGGTAAGTTAAGACTGCAGTGATAAGCTGAAACTGCAGTGATAAGTTAAGACTGCAGTTATAAGCTAAAACTGCAATGATAAGTTAAGACTGCAGTGATAAGCAAAGACTGCAGTGATAAGCTGAAACTGCAGTGATAAGCTAAGACTGAAGTGATAAGCTAAGACTGAAGTGATAAGTTAAGACTGAAGTGATAAGTTAAGACTTGCAGTGATAAGTTAAGACTGAAGTGATAAGCTAAGACTGAAGTGATAAGCTAAGACTGCAGTGATAAGTTAAGACTGCAGTGATAAGTTCAGACTGAAGTGATAAGCTAAGACTGAAGTGATAAGCTAAGACTGCAGTGATAAGCTAAGACTGCAGTGATAAGTTAAGACTGCAGTGATAAGCTAAGACTGCAATGATAAGTTAAGACTGCAGTGATAAGCAAAGACTGCAGTGATAAGCTGAAACTGCAGTGATAAGCTAAGACTGAAGTGATAAGCTAAGACTGAAGTGATAAGTTAAGACTGAAGTGATAAGTTAAGACTTGCAGTGATAAGTTAAGACTGAAGTGATAAGCTAAGACTGAAGTGATAAGCTAAGACTTGCAGTGATAAACTAAGACTGCAGTGATAAGTTAAGACTGAAGTGATAAGCTAAGACTGCAGTGATAAGTTAAGACTGCAATGATAAGCTAAGACTGAAGTGGTAAGTTAAGACTGCAGTGATAAGCTGAAACTGCAGTGATAAGTTAAGACTGCAGTGATAAGCTAAAACTGCAATGATAAGTTAAGACTGCAGTGATAAGCAAAGACTGCAGTGATAAGCTGAAACTGCAGTGATAAGCTAAGACTGAAGTGATAAGCTAAGACTGAAGTGATAAGTTAAGACTGAAGTGATAAGTTAAGACTTGCAGTGATAAGTTAAGACTGAAGTGATAAGCTAAGACTGAAGTGATAAGCTAAGACTGCAGTGATAAGTTAAGACTGCAGTGATAAGTTCAGACTGAAGTGATAAGCTAAGACTGAAGTGATAAGCTAAGACTGCAGTGATAAGCTAAGACTGCAGTGATAAGCTAAGACTGAAGTGATAAGCTAAGACTGCAATGATAAGCTAAGACTGCAGTGATAAGCTAAGACTGAAGTGATAAGTTAAGACTGAAGTGATAAGCTAAGACTGCAGTGATAATCTAAGACTTGCAGTGATAAGCTAAGACTTGCAGTGATAAGCTAAGACTGCAGTGATAAGCTAAGACTGCAGTGATAAGCTGAGCCTGCAATGATAAGTTAAGACTGAAGTGATAAGCTAAGACTGCAGTGATAAGTTAAGACTGAAGTGATAAGCTAAGACTTGCAGTGATAAGCTAAGACTGCAGTGATAAGCTGAGACTGCAATGATAAGTTAAGACTGAAGTGATAAGCTAAGACTTGCAGTGATAAGCTAAGACTACAGTGATAAGCTAAGACTTGCAGTGATAAGCTAAGACTGCAGTGATAAGTTAAGACTGCAGTGATAAGCTAAGACTTGCAGTGATAAGCTAAGACTGCAGTGATAAGCTAAGACTTGCAGTGATAAGCTAAGACTGCAGTGATAAGTTAAGACTGCAGTGATAAGCTAAGACTGCAGTGATAAGCTGAGACTGCAATGATAAGTTTAGACTGCAGTGATAATCTAAGACTTGCAGTGATAAGCTAAGACTTGCAGTGATAAGTTCAGGAGCTGAATGGCAATGTGGAGGTCTGCGAGCCATTACGAGATGGCTTAGACTCTGAGCGCTTCATGTGCGCTGTGCTGCACCTCGTTTGTGTGTTGTTTAATCTACCTGTGGTTAAATCTACGTGTTGTTTAATCTACCTGTGGTTAAATATACGTGTGTATGTGGCTAACTCAGAATATGTATCTGTATTCATCCTTGAGGAATCCGATGACCTATGAAGCTCTTTGTCACAGATGCCCAGTAGGGACACGTGGTCAGCGAGCTGCAACAATCCAAAAACACGATAGGAGTGCAAAGTAGAGGAAAGGTAAATAAGTGACTGAAAATAAATCAAATAATCAAGTATAGAAGTGCACATTGCATCAGTGCATACAGTACATACATTACTGCCGATCTGTCAACACTGAATGCAACCTTGGGCAAGGCAGCAAAACAACAACAACAGTCCCAGACCACAGCAAGACAACAGGGAGTC